TTGAAAACTGAGCCCTTTTATTTTCATCATTAAAGTTGCCTCTGCCCCCAAACCACATTCCTGTCCGAGGAACCATCCCCCGGACCCTCAGGCTGCTAGGCTGGACAGCTGGAAACTCTCTCTAACTTATCCCTCCAATTCATCAACTTCTATCATGATTTGCTTCCAAATGTCTCTCAAATTTGCCCTATTCTCACCATTTTTGTTCAGGTGTTAACTGCCTACCTAGGTGCCTTCAGTGATCTGCGGGGCCTTTGTGTTTCTCATTATCTTTCATCAAATAAACGTGTTAAAATGCCCCTTGGGTCTTACCCCCCCAACTCTGCTCCAGACCCACAGATACTTCACAGTCTTTTCCCAGACACCGAGCCGCCTGCCCGGTGTCCGTATTATGTCCCTTGTAATCCGCTCAGTCATTTCCCTTGATTTCCTGCTGCAGTCTGCCTGATCTCTGTCTGCCCCACCTATGCTGTGTTTCCCAGGGTGTATGTCATGTCAGAAGCCCGGGCGGGAACACAGTGAATGCTCGCCACCTTCCTCCTTCCTGCTGCATCTCCCCATCCTTTATAGCCCACAAAGCCCTCTAAAACTCATGTGGGTTCTCATCTCATTTGAAAAGTAATTTAAATTTTAATTACACGAGTGATATAATGTACAGATTCTATCTTTCTTTTTATTGCGATATTGTTAATTTACAATGTTGTGTTAGTTTCAAGTATACAGCAAAGATTCAGTTTTACATACATATGTATGCCTTATTTTTCAGATCTCTTCTATTATAGATTATTGCAAGATATTGAGTATAGCTCCCTATGTTGCATAGTAGGTCCTTGCTGTTTGCCTATTTTAATAGTAGTGTGTATATGGTAATCTACACTCCTAATTCTATAAATTCTTTAAAAATGAAATTTCGTAGAGATGGCTAAGGTCCCCTTGATCACTTACTCCAATCATGGTTCTTTCCCCGTTATATAGATGAGAAGTGGTTTAATATTTGGGGTGTATACTTCCAGATATTTCTGGTGTTTTTATATCCACATATATGTACCCACAGAGGTTTGTAATGTTTATATTGCATGTGGCCATTTTAATATAAATGGCATCATACAAGTGTACACTTTACTCATAAGTGTTCTGTAAAATCACTAGACATCTCTCCACGTTAGCCCACCTGGATGAGCTGTCTGGTGGGTGCTCCTCTGTGGTGAGAATCTGTCACTGTTTGAATATTACGTGCTTGATGAGCATTATTAGATTGTTGCAGTGTTTAGGGGCTTACAAACACAGCTTCGCTGAATAACTGGGGCACATGTCCTTTTGTCCGTAAGAATCGCTCTTCCTGGTTGCATTGTCTTCTCAGTATCACACACAGATTAGAATGAAGCTAATATTTATTGAAAGACTCCTAAGAACCAGACACTGAAACAGGCATTTACACAACAAATTTCAAGTTAGGTATTATCATTCCCACTTCATAGATGAGAAAACGGAGGCTTAAAGAGGTAAAGTGGGTCAGGATGAGAGATCCCACTCAGATTCTTGTTCCGACCATTTCACTGTGATGACTTCTTTCCTTTCAACTTGATGTGCCTCTCATGATAGTGGGAACTATCGCTATACTTCCTTTGTTCTCTAATATGTCCTGATTACACAATAAATCTCAATAAAACATGATTGATTATTTGGAAGACAAATTAGCACTCTCATCTTAACCAGCAGGATATTTTATTTAGGTATTTAGCAACAATAAGAAGATGCTAGCATCACAGAGTAGCTGGTTAAAATATTATTAGAAGTTAATTCATATTTTAGCAGATAATTCCTAATTAATTTGCTGTAGTTATCTTGTTAAATGTCAATTAAGTCTCTCCACATCCCTTACAGGTTTCTGCTATTCATAAAATGTAATTATGCAGCTATTGCTCATGTATTCTTTATTGCTTATATAATCTACCAGTTAAATACAAGTCAAAAAGATTTATCTTCTAAGTTCTTAATAGCATCACTAAATGTTCTAATTAATAATCAATAGCCCATCTGCATAATTAATTGGGGGGAAGAATCTTAATGAGATGATGCCTTGCAGTTAGCCGAGCTGAGGCTAAAACTTTTATCTCTCATAGCAATCATTGCTTAGTGTGGAAGAGTTTATTTGAGCAACTCAGATTCCTTCAGGGCTCACGGAGGTGCTGGGTTTAAGTGCTAATGATGGGAAGCTCGTGTGATTTTACTGATACATCCTTAGTCACATCCTTTCCTAACAATATGTAATATGAGCCTCTCCATGGAGCATAACCTATTTGTTGGATATGAGTTTTCAGAGACACAGGCTCAGGTGAACAAAAATAAATTTCTTCATTTTCCTTAAAACCAATTTAATGTTCTGAATCTGAGCCCTCAGTCCACTTGATGTGAAAACTTAATACATCATCATCAAGTACACTTGGTCCTATGGAGCAACTTCTCCGGCAAACAGGGCTACGATCTAGGTTCGAAAACGTTCTCCCTTTCAGCTTTCTCCTCTCCCTCTTCCTTGGCGCTGATTTTTAACTGGGAAGGAGGGTGTTTTTGCAGTGGTCTCACTGTGGTGTAGTCTGGGCCGGGGCTACTCATTTCCCAGATTCAGCCTGCTTTCTTCTGAACTATTATCCTTTTGTGTATAATGTGAACAGCGGGTCCTTCGGGAGCCTTCTTCACACCCCATTGTAAATATTAATCATTCATTCTCATTCACCAAAATAATTTTGGTTTTGCTATAGCCTCCACCATCGGGGTTCCTAAGGGCTATTCTTTATTTTCCTTCAGAACTCCAGGCTCCTGTTCTCCATCCGCCCTTCCTAGCTTGGATCACTTACATCTGAACCACTCTTTGATGGCAAAAAGGCCACGGGGCTGTGAGGGGTCGGTCTTTGCTGTCCCCTGACACACCCCTGCACAGCCTCTGTGATTTACCATTCACTTGTCCAAAGCCACAGGGGTTTCTGGAAAGGAGGCGGAAGGCTGTATCTCTTGTTCCAGTCCTCTCTTCCAAAATATCCGGTGATATTTAGGGGATGACACAAAGATAGATCCACATCTTTCTTCGCAGATCTTCACCTCTTTTCTCCCTCTCCCTATCTTGGAGCGGGGGGCGGGCGCTGGGGTAGAGATGGTCGTACTTAGGAGCATTCCTTTTCTTACGTCTTCTGTCTTACAGCAGAATCTCTGCACTTCATCTTCGAAGCTGACAATGTGGCATCCGTGTTCTCTGGCTCTGGAGTTAAATGTGACCCCTTGTCAACAGGAGAAACAGGAGTGTTTACAAAGGAATAAAGAAAATAATATGCCATATATCAGGAAAAGATGAAAAATTGAGTTTGGAAAGATATATGCATCCCAGGGTTCATAGCAGCTCTATTTACAATAGGCAAGATATGGAAGCAACCTAAGTGTTCATCAACAGATGAATGGGTAAAGAAGACAAGAAGACGTGTCATATGCGTGTGTGTGTGTGTGTGTGTGTGTGTGTGTGTGTGTGTATCTGTTGATATTGTTTAGTCAATCACGTCAGATTCTTTGTGGCTCCACGGACTATGGCCCACTGTCCATGGGATTTCTCAGGCAAGAACACTGGAGTGGATTGCCATATCCTTCTCCTGGGGCTCTTCCCCACCCAGAGACCTGTGTCTCCTGCACTGGCTGGCGTGTTCTTTATCACTGAGCCACCAGGCGAGCCCGATGTATAAGCATATCTTACTCAGCCATAAAACAGAGTGAAATAATGTCACTGGCAGCAACATGAATGAACCTGGAGACTGTCATATGAAATAAATTAGACAAAGACAAATACCGTGTAATATCACTTATATGTAGAATATGAAAAAAATGATACAAATGAACTTACTTACAAAACAGAAACAAACTCACAGAGATAGAAAATAAGCTTATGGTTACAAAAAAGGAAAGGGGGGATAAATTAAGAGTTTGGGATTAACATATGCCTGCTATGGTATATCAAATAGATGAAAAAGAAAGGACTTATTCTGTAGCTCAGTAAACTATATTCAACATCTTGTTATAACCTATAATGGAAAAGAATCTGAAAAAGAACATATATATATATATATAATCACTTTTCTATACATCTGAAATCAACCCATTGTAAATCAACTATGCTTCAATAAAAGATAATAAATATAACAAAAAAGAAAACAATATGCGAGGTAACATCTCAAATCGTTACTCAAACACACTTTATCATGTCAGGCTGGGAACCTTGGAATATATGGAGTCACTAGTGTTCCAGCAAAGGGACCAGCCTGAACCCATGGCACAAAGGCAGAGAAGTGCTGAGAAGCTGCTGAACACTCCATGAGGTGGGATTCAGACGGCCATGCAGTTAATTCATCTTGCCTAAGGGACTTGCAGTCTCGGGCACATTTCCTGTAAGGCAGGGGAAGAAAAAGCTTCTCTGATTTGTTTTGTGTCGCAAATCTCTGGCTTCACTTGGCAAATAAGTCTATATGCTCGGGGGGTTGGGGCTGAGAGCTGCACCATCTAAGAGGTTTCAAAGAACGGAAAAAAAAAAAAAGGATTTCAAATAAAATCCAATCATTGTTCATTGAACTACAAATTGCAATCGGTGAAAGAAAATAATACTTCGATTTGGAAGAAGGCAATTCCTTTACCGGAGTACCTTATGAGCCAGTGAACGCAGTTTGCTCTCTTCAGACAAGGCTGCCAGGACAGACACACATCAGATCAACCAGACGTGTTCTCACCCTAGTGAAGAGACTATTGCTTGTCATCTTTATGATGCCTCTGCCCCTTTCAGTAAACAACAAAGCACTTTTCCCCTTCCTTTCTGTTTATTCTTTCCTGCAAGAGAATTGCTTTTCCCCAGTGACCCTCCTCAGAGAGAAAAGCTGCTTATGCCCACACAATAGAAATAAGATGAGGTAGGCTGGGTCTGACTCATAAAGCTCCAGGTGGACAGCCAATCAGTGTAGGACAGCGCCCAGGATACCGGCAGCAGGAACCCCTTCTGAAGACCACCTGTTTTGCCCATCTTCTGTCTTCCGGCAAGATGCTCTTCAACTCATCCAAGAGAGGTCTTTCACCTTAAACGTCTCTGAGGAAAGGCATTCCCTAGCTTCTTGCTACTGACCATGTTACCAAATGCGGTTTGTGCGCAATGCACAGTGAAGCCAAACCAACCAGAGCACCAGAGTCTGGAGCAGAGAAGAGTTTATTGCAGGGCCATGCCAGGAGAAGAGGTGGCTCATGCACCACCACCGCCCCAAACTCTGAGCTCCCTGAAGGGTTTCAGCAAAGCAGTTTTAAAGGCAAGGTGAGAGAGTGGCAGCCCAGGCTATGTGATCCGTTCATGCACAGACCTCTGATTGAGCGATGTTGAAATCACAGGGCAATTGGCACCATTAACCCTTGGGGACCAGAACATCTGGGGGCTACCTGCCCATAATCATCAAGTAGTTACTTTCTTCCATTTGGTGATGGCTTTAGTGTCTGAAAAACAGCTCAGGAGGTAAGTATCAGATACTCTTGTGTAGCTGGGCTTCCCAGGTGGCTCAGTGGGTAAAGAATCTGCCTGCACCGCAGGAGATGCCAGAGACATGGGTTCGATCCCTGAGTTGGGAAGATCCCCTGGAGGAGGGCATGCAACCCACTCCAGTATTCTTGCCTGGAGAATCCTGTGGACGGAGGAGCCTGGCAGGTTACAGTCCATGGCATGGTGGCAAAGAGTCAGACACGACTGAAGTGAGTGAGGACTCACATGCTATCTTGTAGGTACTTCAGGCAGGAGCTACAGCAGAGAATATGGGGGATGAGTGTTCTAGAAAGGCGCCATAGGGTCCCGCTTGGTTACAACCATGCCATTGTCTTTTATTTGGGAATTAGACATAAACTCTCTCTCTCTCTTTTTTTTCTTTTTTGGTTTTGTTTTGGCTGTGGAATCTTAGTTCTCCAACCAGGTATCAAACCCATGTCCCTTACATTGGAAGCTTGGAATCTCCACCACTGGACCACCAGGGAAGTCCCCAGACAAAGTGTAATCAAAATCTTTCCTATATTGTTTACTTTCTTTCCTCCTCACAAGACTTGCCCATGGATCACAATGAAGTTGGTGCCTTCTCTTTTCTTCTTCTTCCTTGTAATGCGCCCTCTGGGGTTTACATCTCCCAGGTTTTTCGGAGTCTTAATTGTCATGGAAGAAAGTTGATGAAAGCACTTTTTAAAGACATCAGTCCCTTGCAAAATGAGCCCTGCAAGAAGAAAGAAATGTATGAAGATGTTGAATTATTAATGATGACATTTCAGGCACCTCTGAAAGGAAGATTGGGATTAGTGTGAACTTTGCCCACATCCCTCCCAATAACATCATGCTTGTAAGATCAATTATGGCAGCCGGCTATAAACTTCAGGAAACCAGCATCTGACTCTCCTTAATAGCTCCCTTGTTTTGGCCAACTAATTAAATGTCTCTTTGCCTTGTTTTTCCTATCTGTAAAATGGGTTGGGGGCCGATAATCAGCCTGCATCATAAGTTGTTGAGAAGATCAAATGAGATGAAGCAGATAATGTACTTTCCACAGTGCCTGTCAGGCATATCGTGCTTAGTACAAACTGGTACAGATACAATCAAAGATTTTTGCACAGACTATTGGAATACTAAGAAGGGCTAGTGGGGAGTCGCTGCTCCTTCCTGCCGACATATTTGATAAATATGACCACATAACCAACACATTTTGTTCTAGAAGGCACAGGGCAGTGAGGCTCCCCGGAGCACGAGAAGGGTGGGCGGGCCGGTGAGTGGAGGAAGGACCACTGCCCAGTCCTCTGCCCGCTCTGAGCATCTGTGCTCCTCACTGACTGGACCGGATGTCGGCCAGGGCTGGCAGGTGGCGGAACCTTTGCACCTTTCACATCTCCGTATTTTATATTTCCCAGGACTGACCCCTCTACGCTTGCTTTCATCCTAAGACAGAGGACTGCTTAGCATACAGTCAGGCAGACAGGCAAGTCGTGATTTGGTGAAACCTGGAAGAATTACAAACTGTGGCAAAAATAGCCAACTAAGGAATCGCTGAGGCATATTTACTTTTCCCCTTGATATCTGTAGAAATGTACATCTTCAAGCATCACAGAAATAATTGCCTACTCTATATATTTTTCCCCCTTTTATGGCTTTTATTGGTACACAACATTATTCAGACTAGGCTCTTCCGTCTCCCAGGCCAATTGCTTTTGCATCTGTGTTTATATTGATGCTATTCAAACAATGATCCTCCACTTCCCCTGTCAGTTTCCATCGTTCATTTCACGTATTATGAACTTATTTAAACAAAAATCATCCTCCCCGGATACATTTCTTTCCCATCTGTTCCCCACCTTGCCCCATGTTACCAGTTCTCGTTTCAAAGCAACATGATATCATTTATTGTTTTTCCTCTCCTGTTTTCCTAAGTTTCTCCTATAACATTCAATGTGGGAGAGGTGATGGTGAGGAAATACACAGTTTTAGCATTGATTTATGGTCAAGAAGGTGTTTCTTTACTCAAAATGTTTCTAAAAGGATTCATACCAATTTTTTAGAGCAATGAGCCCTCGATAATGGCTGCACTTTATATGTGTAGGATGCTTTAGAGTTAGATTTTAAATGTAATTTTACTAGGTATCGTTTTAGGGAGTCTGGAGAAATAAAGAGGGAGAAATGGCTAGTGATCCAGATCATTCAGAATACTCAGATTTTTGGCAACCTTGTTGACTGGCATGCAGATGTTAGACTGAATTATTCACCCTTCTTTCAAAGGCTTGGTGTTGTGGAAACACAGCTCATTTTGTATGAGGATCAAAATAAGGTGGTGGTATGAGGGGTGGGAGCTGTTTTCATTTTATTGAATGATTTAAACATAGGGAAGCAAATCTGAATATGTTTTTAGCTTAATAATGTTTTTTGGTTTCCACTTGTTCACAGGTACTGTTCTATTTCCCAGGCTCAGGAAGACCTGCTATAAATACCTTAATCCTTTCTAAAGCAGGTGTTTGTGTACCTATTCCCCATATAGATTTGTTAGGGCCATGAGAGAGAATTTATTCTCATAATCTTCCTACAAAGGATAACTGTTCCTACTGCGCCTGCCAGCTTTGCTCAGATGAAAAGCCCAGGGCCTCAGTGCAGGCTTCTCAGGCCAGCTATGGGAGATCAGCTAGATTTTTTTTAAGAGAAATTAGGTTTTTCCGTCTTTGAAGAAATATTAGTGGAGCCCACACTTCGGTAGACAACTCCCAGAGGTCACTGAATCCTGCATGGAGTTCGTCACTCATTTATAAATGGGCCACGTTTCTCTGAAATGACAGATCTGGTGAGTTAATATTATCTCACAGAACACTTATCCTTGAAATGAGAGGTGCTTTAATGATCGAGCGGTCTCTTTCAAGAGTTCCTGGACTGTGTTAGAATCTCTTGAGCATAGGAGGAACATCGTGAGGAGTTCATCCTCTGTCTCCCTGCATCCTTCCTGTTGCCGTGAAGGCTGGTAACCCAGAGTTGGACTTCAAAGCCTGCCCCTGGTTGGAGAGCCTCTGCTCCACTTTCCCCGGGCTAAAGAAAGCAAGATGCTTCAACTGTTCTTCCTCTGTGATAGTTTCACAAGGAAACAAGAGCCTATTTATCTCTTTTACAGTTCATTACACCTGAGGAACCTTATTTAGCTAAAGGAAATTGCCCTCTGGGGAATGGTTAGAATTAGCAAGGAGTAAAACCTTTAGGGGTGGAAAACTCTCTCTGCATATTACAGAAAACAAAATCTCCCAAATCTGCTCCATCATTCGTTATCCCATTAGTAAAGGAAAGGGCTTTTCCTTTTCTTAACTCTTCCCCTGTGAGTATTACATCGTTTGGTATCTGCTCTTCTGTCCTTGTTTTCTGTTTTCCTCAGGTGGATCAGGTCTGGTTTCAGTTCCATAAAAGGATAAACTACCTAAAAATTAGAAGATCCAAGCAAAAGATCCATCGTTTTGAGACATAGTCCGTGGGAGTTCCTATGTGGTCTCTTGGAAGAGCTGAGTCAGGAGAGTCAAGCCTCAGAAAGAGGATTGAACCAAGTGTTTTTAAGATGTCCTTTCTTATTATGAGAGACCAGCATCTTGGTATTAAAAAATAGCTCACTCCCATCACTAGTCGTCATTGTGACATGACCTCGGTAGCATCACTGCCGTGATCTTTGCTTCCGACATCTTCCTCTACTTGTTGAGTTCATTTGGACCTCTTCTGGCTTGAAAGAACCTTCTTCAAAGCCTGTAATCTTCATTTCTGTACCTAGGAAGTTCATGCAGTTTCTTTTTTTCAGAACTGATTATATTCTCGCAGCTACTTTCCAATGGCCTGACCAAATATGCCTCTGCAGTTGAAGGCGATGAATTTCTGAAATCAAGAGGCTCAAAGATTGAGGTCTAATGTGATGTAGTCACCGTAGGAAAAGGACCAGGAGCTGGAGGGTTTTTGCCGAGTGTCTCAAAACTGAGTGAAAAATTAGAATTTCTGCCAAGAGTCTCCATGTCAGTTCGAAGAAGTATTTTACTGAATACTTGGACATGTGATGAGCTATATTTTGAAGAATGTCTGAAAGATGTTGTCTGTTTAGGCAATTTCCACAGTCACTTTACATGAGCAGGGCCTTGGTTTATATCACTCTTTCCTAAACCTATTCTGAAGTGCAGGGGACATGTCCCGATTCTGGAGCCAGGGAAGCTTGTTTTAAAACATTTTTGTTTCTGCTAATAGTGGGATGATCTATGGTGAGTCATACAGTGGCTCTGGGCTGATTTCTCACCTAGAGAGTAGCGGTGGCCCTGGGCGATCACCAAGGAAGCTAAGTTGCTGGGCAGGCATCGTGTTTTACGTTGATTGTCTCAGCGTCAGAAATTCATAAACTTGGTGAGGCTTCAGAATCATGGGGCCGCTTTATTAAAAACATAGGTTTCTGGGCTCACTCCAGCAGGTCGTGTGTGGTGGTCTCTGGGGAGGAAGCACTGAAGCAGACCGCATGTCTCATCATTGCCTTAGGTGAGTCTGATGCCCAGGGTCCTCAGACCACACTTTGAGAAGCAGTGCTTCGAGAGATGTTGTTTCAGAGCCGCAGGGAACCTCTCTTCCCCGTTTGCTCATTAACACTCGAAGGATCCTCGTTGGGCACCAAGGGAAGACTTCTCGTTGGGCTTGAAGCCCAAATGTCTTCAATAAGAATACAGTCATACCAAAGGGAAAGTGACAAGGGTGAGTCTTTTCTAGAAGTGGGTTTTGATGGGAGTCTGGAGGGGGAGGCGTGAGGCTGCTGAATGTCTTAGGAGGACACCGAGGGAGGGTGAAGGGCGAGACTGACCGCATAACTCAGAGATGGACTGCACTGACTTCAATACTTTGTTGCTAGCTCTCTTCTGAGATATAGACATCGAGTTGGGGAGAGGTCGGAGATGAGGGAATGAGCTAAGTAGAGTGGCTGGACTAATTATCCCCAAAATAAAAGCTGGGGGGTATTTTCTGAAAGACACAGAGGTGAGAAGTGACCAAGAGATGACTTGTTCCCGCAAGTAACCTGTGACGACTGGCTGTGTCCTGAAGACATAGGCGGAGTCCTTTGATAATATGACATCTGTGGGGTGATGATAACCGTTAGCTTGAAGTAGACAGAGTGTGTGTGCTGGTGCGCGCGTGTGCATGTATGTGTGTGTGTGTGTGTGTGCACGCGCGTGCATGCGTGTGCTATAGGAGAGGTGAAGAGAGAAGAGTCCTGTATAATAAGCTCTGCAGGACAGGGAGGACAGCTAAGCAACTCAATAACTCTGTCCTAGTTTCAGCTCTGTTGGTGCAAGGGCAAGGCCCTGAAATGAGCCTTCAATCCAGTTTATTTGTTGCTATCTAAATTCCAATTTATTTTTTTTGTCAAGTTGGCCCATTTGCATGCAAGGCACCCAGCTCTAATCTACTCTGATAACGACTTGGGTAAGCAGGTTGAAAATTTCTTACTCTTTCCTGAAGGCTTGCAATGCGAAAGGAAGGATAGTAAAGCAACCTTTCCATGATTAAATGAGAAATAAAATTACATCGTGATGTTTATATTCTTCTCATTTTTTTCCCCATCTCTCACAACTTTAGATACTGAACTAGGCTTGGCAGGGACATGGACTCAAGGAGATGGGTGCCTTGTTTCTTGGGATTAAAGCTTCTGTTTATCATGAAGCCTTAGTAATACTGCCCAGCCAATCTCTGCATTAAACAAACACAAACCGAATGAGAAGAGCCTAATTTAATCTCCACATGGCCAATATCCATTACTAACCTAGATTTCTCTAAACCTAAATCTTATAGACAGCTTATTCATCTTTTTTCTTTAAATGTTTGATTCTTCTCTAAGATTTATTCTCAGATACTTAATTATTACATGGCTGACATTATCCATTCTCTGGGTAAGAATTCAACAACTCCCCTTTCAAT